TAAATATACTGAAAGTACTGTAAAGTGGTGATCATGTGGAATGTGAATTAAATCTTGATAAGAACTAATTTCTTACTTTTTTCTGTTGTTAGGACAAAAGAGATGACGCTCAGATTGGTCTTAAGTCCACAGCCCTGCTGTTTCAAGAAAATACCAAGCAGTGGCTCACTGGCTTCAGCGTGGCAATGCTGGGCGCTCTCAGTCTGGTGGGAGTGAACTGTAACCAGACTGCCCCCTACTACACCGCTCTGGCTGCTGTGGGGGCCCATCTCACTCACCAGGTTTGATCTTTTCTTACTCTTCATTTTTCCTTAGCATAAAATTAGAAAAGTTATTTAAATAAATGCCTTTTGTACTGCTGTTTTCTTTGAACATAATACAAAAGCTGCTAGTGAACTTATATTTAGATGGTATATTTTATGTGTATCATTGCAAGTTACTTTCTACTGTAGGTAAGATTTGTGTAATATGGTATAAAGGAAACTTAAATCTGATGTCCATAAAGTAAGCCACCTGCTCTATCACTTTCATTGTTTACCTCAATGGGAAAACTAAAAGGTGTGAATTGAAGGTTCTCTAGGATTTTCTGATTTTGCCATTTTCCTTTCCAGCAATTTTTAGTAATGCCTTTTGGTTATGACTCAGCTGATGGAGTTACCATTGTCCTGTAACTGTCTGGTCAGGATAATGAATATTTAGTAATATTTAAGTATCTGGATATGAAGTAGTAGAAGAAAGCAGAATTTTGAGGACAGCTACAAATATTATAAGAAATATTTGTGTCCCACTTTATCTTCTAAATTGCATTTGTAGTCTTTGTTTTCAGTTCTTGGTGCTGTATTTTCAAAAGCAGATTTGAGATCAATCAGTGTAAAGAAGTCTCTTAATAATTAGGACTAAAAATAGCATAGGCTAATTGTCTTTCAAAGCATTTGTGCACCCTCAGGTTGAAGTTTCCAGGACATAGCTTAAGTGATACACTGTGAAAGATGAGGTAGATTTTTCTACAGTAGAAATAGTAAAATGTACATTAAGGGCTTCCCTGCAGCTTAAAATTCTATAGGAAAATGCTGTTATCTTGTCTGTACTGATGTGTTTATTTGTGATGCCAAAAGACCATACCAAGTACCGACTAAGCATTGTATGCTTCTCTTACAGATTTACACTCTAGACATCCACAGACCTGAGGATTGTTGGAGCAAATTTACCTCTAACCGAACAGTAGGACTAATCATTTTTTTAGGGATTGTCCTCGGAAATTTCTGGAAAGAAAAGAAGGCAGATGAAACAAAAAAAAATGTAAATAGAGTTGAAAATTAACAAGTGATGTTTATCTGGAAACTTTTAAAACAAATTTTTACAAAGCACTCTCAGATCTTGTTGCCACATAATTAGGATTGAATAAGTAATCTTACAGTCTCTTAAAAAGAAGAATCAGATGATAAAGACTGAAAGCATATTTGCTTAGATTTTAGTTTAAATATTTGCTCCTGAGACTATTCCAGTGTCACAGAAGCCAGGATTTTAGAGGCCCTTTAATATTTAAGTGAACACATTTTTCTCATGATTTTCATCTGTAGTTATAGGAATTGTGTGAGCTTGGGCACTTTGGGGAACATGTCTCAGCAAATGAATATCTTTGTAGGATACTGATTCTTTTAAGAAAAAAATAAAAGCTGTTACAAAGAGTTGGGATTTATTCTTTTTTGTAACCATTACCTCCAAAAGTTGCAGTTCAGGAAACCATTCTGGTTTTTATATTTTTGAAAAGCTTAATTAAGGAAACATTTTCCCTGCTGCACCCATATGCATGGCTGTTGTCCCCAACCCGACACCTGGGAAATCTGATCTCAGCATCGTCATAGTGAGCAGAACCAGTAGGCAGCAGTTACAGAAGCTGTTTTTAATTTCCTCTTTTAAATGTGACTCATTTTTAATGTATAAGATAGTGGTTAATTGTACTTTTTTTTTTTCCCCTCGCCCCCTTAATCTTTTCAACATAGCAGCCAGAACATTTAAAAAAAAAAAAATCCTGTAAGGTCAGTGTCATCCATCTGCTCAGGGCCCTCCAGACCTTGGTCATGCAATACAAACCAAAGGGTCCTGTTGATGGAGAAAAGAATAGAAAGGAGGCACCTGTTAGGATCTCAGTAATCTGGCCTCCTCCATGACTTCTGTTCTCATCCCCTACCCTCCCTATTCCTGCTGAGCTCCTCACTGGCCTCAGATAGGCTGGTCACACCTGCACCAGAACCTTGCATTTACAGTTTCCTTTGCCTGAAATGCAGATGCCTTAGTCTTTCACTATTGGTCTTCTCCTACTGTCATCTTGTCAAAGAAAGTCTCCTAGCCACTTTCTAGAACTTCATATACAAATATCACCTGCACTTCTTGTCCCCTTGCTCTTTGTTGTTTCTTCTGTTTAGCATTTAATCTTCATCATTATCTAAAATATATCTCACTGTTTCTCATGGACAATGGAGTATAGGGAAAGCAATCCTTTGTATGGGGGGGTTGTAGGTAGCAGTAAAGGTAACTTGTATATTAACAATGATAGTAATGATAATGCAGTCAACACAGAGCACTTAGAGCTGCCAATCACTGAAGAATAAGTATAAGAAAATTTGTTTATTTATTCAGCAAATACTTAACCACTGAAATTGAGTTTACAGACTTAGTAGGAGCTGCATTTGTGCTCTGCTATAACAGTGAGTGAAGGGCAGAAGAAATAGCCATTTCTGCAGAAATATGATTAGCTTCTGCTTTAATTCTTATACTGCACCAAGACAGATAAAATGCAATCCTATATTGATTTCTGTTTTCTTTCAAATGAGCACTGATTCCAGTACAGGAGTGTAAGTGTAGTGGGCTTCAATTTGATTTCATTTTCCTAAGTTAGTTAATAAAAGTTAGTATGGAAGAAATCTTAGAATCGAGAAAACTAGCAGCCATTTATGCTAAATGGAGACAGGAGAATATAGAACAAAATTCACAGATCCACTTCCTCTCAAAATGCTGCTTAAACAGATTCAAATTATTTTGGTTCTTTCCTTCTCCCAGGTTGAAAGGCTAAAAACATAAATGGGCAAGGGATACAGGGGGTTGGGTTGGAAGCTAAGAGGTGACTAGACTCTAGAATCGTGTAGTTAAAACAATTCTAGGTTGCAGGGAGTGCATTTAGCATCCAGGTTGTCTGTCACCCACAGCTGAGGAGGTTATTAACATCAGGACCTTTAGAATTGAGTAGGGCAGAATAAACTCGGTTATTCTTAAATCTATTTGTCTTCTTCATAAGCTCTGTAGTTAAAGAATCTCTCTGGGAATATTTGTATGTTGATAATGATGGAATGGACCCTACCTGGTAATTATCTTTTGTAATGCATCTTTTAAGTAACAGGAAAAGAGAACGAGTTCAGGTTGTGAAACATTGAAATTAAAATGACTGCAGGTTTTCCAGGCAAGTCTAGAGAGGAATATAAAGGCCTAGAAATCAGAAGAGAGATCTGGTTTGAATAAAGGTTTGGGAGTCCTCCAATGACACAAGCTATGCAACTTCTGTTGCCAGACATGATCTGGATGTAGGGGAAATGCTCTGAAAAATCAGAATTTCCATGCTAACTTATGTTTGACCTCCCTTTTTTGTATAATCATCAAAATTTTCTAAGCAGCCATCAGTTTTCTACTGGATTGCCTTAGCCTCATAAGGCGCTGCTTGGCCTAGGCAAGCAAGCACTGCCCCAGGATGGGAAATTCCTCTTGAAGTCAAAAATAATATTACAACTGGTTGATTAATAAAAGCAATTGGCTTATAACGAAATCAGTATTTTAAAACAAGGCAGTACTAGAACATGTTAAAAAATAATCAGAGTTCTTTTACTGCCCAGATGAGAACCCAAATCTTATCACTCTATTCTCTTAAGTAAGCTTTTTATTGCTTAGTCTTTAAATTAGGAATCTTGCTATCTCTTTTAGTGATTTATTAACCAGAAAACTCCTCTAACCTAGTCCTTGACTTGAGTTTACCCTCTTTCACAACTTCACCTTGGCCCATGACCTCACTTTATCCTCTTTCATATCACCAACTCATCCTCCACCTTAGCCCTCAACTTTGCCCTCTAAAATGTCTCAGTGAGAATGAAGAGCATTAAGTAGCCTTTAAGGTTTAAAGGGACTTCATTTTAGCCAATCATCACTGTGGTAAATACAGCAATGTTAGCCTTAAATTTTATGAATTTATGTACCTTTCTTAATAGAACAGGTCTGCTGCACCATGTAGGTTGGCTCCCTGGCTGGGTATTGAACTCTTGTTCAGTGGCTGCCAATAGCTTCATAGTATTTGAGATTCCATTGTGCCACCAGGGATGCCCACTACTGCAAATATGAATGTATCAGAAAAGAAGATTCCAAATTTTTTAAAAATAAATTAGTACTCTATAGCTTCTATGTTCCTAACAATTCTTTTTCAAAGACCATTTAGTGAATTCTTAAGCAATCAGGGTATTCACAGAGTCTATATATTTTTACTTCAAATTCCTTATGAAATGGGGGCCTGCAGTGACTGGAGACAGCTTAATAGTGCTGAGACTTTGACCACAAGAGAGGCCCTGAAAGATGACTTTGATGCATAGAAAAAGATTATTCAGAGGTTATTTTTTTGTAGCCTAACAGGCTATCTGCCCTAATAAACACAGACTTTAAAACAGTATGCACACTAGCTTTAATAAGTAGGGGTTAAATAAAATAAAAACATTAACATTATGACACATTATATAACATTATGACAGATTATAAACACCAAATAAATAGTAGCTATTTTCAATAGAAAAGAATGTACCTGAGTTTTACACTTATGCATATTTTCTTGATCTCACAGAATTACAAAACCCAAGAATCTTGTTTATTACGAGTTAGGTCCTATGCTTTCCCCCTGTGGTCAGACTTAAATAGCTTAAAGAACATATGAAATGGAATTCAATTTGTCTCTACTTGCTCCTGGGCTTAAAAGCTCCAAACATTATTATTTCTAGAAGTATTAACACAAATGGCATTGGCATAAGGACTAAATACTAGTCCAATAATTCCAGAAGCATTTTGCTGACAGAATCTCAAGCCTGATGAGGTGCCCTTTTAAGGGATAGAAAACATGCCATGCAAGGCAAAGGTAAATGGTGGTGAGTTGGGGAGAGATCAAAAATTAGCAATGTTATAAGAAAATGAATAAATAAATTGAATAATAATAAAAAATCTCTTTGAATCTTAACAACAAGTGTTCCTTTCAGTAAATGCATTTCAAAAACTTTTGAGTAGGGAAGGGACCACAGCCGCCCTGTTATTGTGTGAGTTGTTTGTGAAACTCTTTTAATAGAGGGATATACTATTCAGAGTCCAGTAACAAATGAGAGCCAACGTGAAAACCCAGGAGGGTCAGAATGGCTGGCTGCTTCTCTTTGGTTGTGGCTGTGTGCCTGGCAACCAGAGGCGGATTTGTAAGGGACAGATAGGCCCAGCATGTTCTGACCTGGAGTCTGGAGCCCAATAGAAACCTGTTGCTTCAGTCTAGCTGAGAAAAGCTTTCCTCCTCACTGGGGACCCTCCCGTGGCATGCTCACAACCACCCTGCACACACACAGTGACAAAGGAGGGGAAGTGTCTGTTCCCCTGGAGAAGTAAATATATTAGCATGTTAGTTTTGGTTCTCATCCACAATAAGGAAAAATGAAAACACTTTGCTCTTCTCCATGTTTTACCCCCTCCCCACCAATACATGCATGTTCTCATTTCCTAAGTTTTTCAAAACCTTACTAGAAAAGCTGATTTGAAGTGTCTTGATGAGCACTGGAATTAGCACTTGCACTCAGAAAAAGGTTACATAGGAACTCTGTGCTGTTTCCTATAGATACCATGTGAATCTACAATTAGCTCAAAATAAAAAGTGTAATTTTAAAAAGCAAACTGGTCAGAATATACTGTGATAGGAAGAACAATCGACCGCCCCTCCCCAACTTCAAAAAGAAAAACATTATCCTGAAAATCAAATTTTTGGTTCTTTATTACATGAACTCTCTCAATCAAGTTACACCTATAGAAATGCCATCCTGTGCCTAGTGGGAGCCCCTGTGACAGAAAATAACACCAATTTATTTTCTTCTCCTTTATCCTTACCAACTTGACAAGTTCCTTAATGGCAATTTTGAAGAGTGCAAACAAGAACTGGTGTTATTTGCTCCATAGATGTGAAAGGCAATAGGGGCTAAACAGTGAGGAAGATATACCTCTTATGACTGATACTTTCGGACTTAAGTATTTTGTCTTGTGGACATGTGTCTAGCCCAAAATATCAATCCCCAAATCTTACATAACCTTCACAGATTTAACAAATAGGGATTAAATAAAAACGTTAACATTATGACATTATATTAACATTATGACAATATATTTATGTCATAACATTATGACAATATATTATATTATGACATTATATTAAACACCAAATAAATAGCAGCTATTTTCAATAGAAAAGAATGTACCTGAACTTCACACTTGTGCATATTTTCTCTATCTCACAGAATTACAAAGCCCAAGAATCTTGTTTATCACGAGTTGGGTAATAAGACCTTCTCTCTACACCTTTCCCACCTACCTGTTTGAATTCACCATTCCCTTCTGTACTCTCCAGCACAAT